CAGAAAATATCATGAATTTTATTAAACCAATATTTATTGATCTTTTAAAACCAGACCTTTTAGATAAATGCCTTGAGGGAAAGACACAAAAAGTAAATAAATCGTTGAACAACGTCATTTGGTCTTACGTCCCAAAAAAGGTTTTTGTACAGCTGAATACATTAAAATTTGATATTTATGAAGCAGTAACTGCATTCAATAATGGTCATATTGGTAAGTGCAAACTAATGCAACAAATTGGCTTAAAACCCGGAAAAAACTTTGTAAATGCAATGAAGTCTCTCGATCGCCGCAGAATTCACGAAGCCAAGAAAGCCTTCACCGAACTTGAAAAAAAAATTAGGAAACATCAACACATGTTAAAAAGGAGATTGGAGGACCAGTTTGAAGAGGAAGAGGCTGATAAACCATCATATGGCCAAGGAATGAATTAAAAATGTAAGTAAATCGACATTTTATTAGTTTAGGCCTATTTAGGCCTAGTTTTTATCCGATTCCCGAAACTTGTTGTTTTCCTTAGCATAGGACCCATTTTCTCAGCAACCATAAGAGATATCTAGGGGAGAGTGGGGAGGAATGGGACGCAGGAGGAATGGGACATTAACAATTTTGAATTTCCCGCCAGTTGTAATATTTTTATCATCCTGTCATTTGTTTCTGCAAGCCTTCTTCCTCTTCCTATGGTGGTTGCAGGTTCTCAGATCAACAGTTCTTTAACTGAAGAGATAGGACAGTTTTTCATGTTGAAAAGTAATAATTATCGATGATATTATAAAGGTAAGTAAAAAAAGTGTTTATAATTTCAGGATTTTAAAAGGCGTAGTTTAAATATACATTGTTTCCTGCATATTTTACAATATAAGAACTTCCAATATGGCAAGCCATTTTTGAGGTTATGTCAATTCTTTGTAACCATGTGCTTGCAGGTGGAATGGGACACAGAACAACAGGAGGAATGGGACAGTCCCATTCCTCTTGCTACCTCCTTTAAATTTGTAAATGTGTTTCTTACCTTTTTCAAAGCAATTAAAAAATAAATAATCTACTTTTTAGTTTAATAAACATCCCTAAATGTTAATTAGGCCTACCTATTTAATTTCAACCACTTAATATTTAGGCCTACCAGAGTGGCATGAATTTTAAAATTTTTTTATAGGTATGGATTCATATTTTGTAATTTGTATTTAAAACCTCTTTCTTTAAACTTTTTTGTCCGTCCGAAGGATAATATGAAAATGATTATATAGGCCTAACCTATTTTGTTGCAGATAGTAATCAACATGCAGAGAGTTTGGCCGAAGAAAACGGACCGAAAACGAATAACTGAGGAAGAAATAAAAACAGCTGTGGATTTTGTTGTAAACCAGGGCCACAAAACACGCACAGTAGCAAGAGAATTAGGCATTTCTAAATCTACCCTTGATCGCCATGTACAAAAAGCTAAAAAATTAGAAGATGGTGAAGAATATAGCTTTGCTCTTATTTAATAAAAGCTGGAAAAATGAATTAAGTCTTAACACCACTACAAGCTAGAAGACTTGCTTATGAGTATGCAGAGAGACTTGGTCTTCAATTTCCAGAATGAGTTGCAATATTTGCTAATATCCCAGTGGGACGAAACCTTAGCGGTGAACATTGATCAGCGGATTGTGGCAAGACAAATTAAATAAATTAAAAATACGTAGACACGCCATACCAACCTATCATCCTGTATTATTCTTTGCATGTTAGAGCAATTGATTTTGGTATTAGGCTATCATAGTTTGATTCTATTTTATTATTTTCAAGCATGGTAAAAGAATTTAGTATGCACTTGGCTTTTTAGTACTTGGCTTTAGTACGGAAGTTTGTTTCTTTACTCCGTATTTTCTCATGCATGGTAAAACAATATATAGTTATGCACTAGGCTTTGGGGGTTTATTTCATTTACACATGGCCTTGACCTACTTAAGAAATCAACACTCAATATACAACTGAATTATTATGTTTAATAATGGAGGGAGTTGGGATAGAACAGTTTTTTTTACATTTCTTTTTGGTTTTAAGTTTAAATTTAATTAGTTCAAATGTTATCTGCGTAATAGCTTTTACTTGCTTTATTAACACTTTTAATTTTATATCCATAACCCTGGATTTTTTTATATTCTCCACTGTTTCCTCTGAATATCCCCTGCACTTCACCATGGTATATAACCACGAGATTAAGAGTAGACACACATTAACTCTTTGTGTTTTTCAGCGCACAGTTTGAAGACAAGTGGTGATGGTGCATGAAGATCCGGGTATACGAAAATTATCAAACCCAAAACCTGTTTTTGCACCTTCAAAAAGGAAAATTGAAACAAATGAAAATAGTGAATTGAAAATGCTCAAAACCCTTTTAGGACATGATTTAGAATTAAGTGACTCTGAAGCGAATAAAACACCTGCAATAGAGACAAACCATCTGCAATGGAGTCTGAAAATGAGGTTGAAGTAAACATAATTGTGGAAGATGCTATTGGCAGTGAAATAAACAAACCAATGGAAGAAGAAGGTATATGTGGAGGACAAAAGAAACCCGTGGAAGAATCATCGAGGAAATTTCTTAGCAAGGAATACGTTTTATCATCTGATGATGAAGATTTGGTAAACAGATTTCACTATTTAACAAACAACGTTATGTCGCTCACTTCTGGGTGGTTCTAGAAGTTTCTAGAATTTTAAATTATTATTGCGTTCAATAAGGTAACTTGATATGTCTTTTATGTAGGGCCTATCCTATAGTAGCCTACTGGGATACCATATATTCCTTAACAGTTTATCAGGGCCAGCTAAAAGACTTTGTTATTCTGAGGTTTACTCAGAAGATGACTCGGATAATGAACTTCCCTTGAAGGTCAAAGTTAATCACTACGTGATTACAAAAATAGCAGGCCAGAAGTCGAACTACCATTATTTTTGAATAGTAACAAAAAAGTTTAACGATGAACTGTTGATAAGAATTATGAAGAAATCGAACAACAAGTTTGTGTTTTCAGAAACGGATGACATCTCCCTTTAGGAGTTGTCTGACATATTAGCTGTGTTCGATCAACCAACTGTGTACAATCGGAAACAGTAATATTTCATCATATATGAGAAGTTCATCAAATTGATAGATTAAGCTAATATTGCACACTGGTTATTTAAAGTTTGGAGACTGCGTTTTTTAATTGGAGATATACGATAGGGTAATTCTCCACAGGATGTCAAGTTTGGTGTCCTTAATGTCTAAATAAACAGAAAAAAAATTAAATCTAACAATAATTCAGCTGGCACCTCCCGAACTGAAGACTAAGACTCCTAACGTAGAAATTGTCTACTCCCTGGTCTCAAATCGCTCCAGTTATCAACTGGACCTGAACATCGAATTTCACCGAAGACCATTAATTTAACTACATCTAAACGTCGTTTTGGATTCGCCGTTCACCAGATTAACCGCAACACTCCCCATGTAGCAATAAGTATAGGTATTGATGATACATATAATATTAATATAAAAATACATTCAAACGAGAAAAAAATGTAGTGGGTTGTATTTATTTCCCTAAATTTTTTCAACATCCTATGTACAATGTATTCGTAATAGGTACATACTTTAATATCCATAGATGATGAACAAAATCTTCATGCTATGCCGCGCAAGATACCCGAGTATCTGCGTTTGTTAAGATTCGACGCTGATGCATTATGGGGCAACAGCAAATGAGGCCGGTGAGCCAACATGCGCTCCGCCATATTGTTTCCGAGTTGTCGAGTGACGAGTCGTTGTGAATTGTGTTGTGGTGCTTTAGCTAGCAATTGTTGTCCTTGTGGCTCTGTTTAGAGCATTTACTTCTGATTTTCAGTGTTTACGAATTCGTTGTTTTGTTATTATTTAGGCTACTTTAATTAATTAGGTATATTAGTTACTTTTTACTTTGTATTATTTAAGATTTGCGTAAAATAATACAAATCGACTTCAGTGGCGATTCTACTAACTGGAGCTAAGATTAAGGTAAGGTTAGGTACTAAGAGCCCACGATTAACTTACTAGAAAAATACCAGTATGGATCATAAACATAAACAAATGACGTTGTTGGCCCAAATTCTATACTAATAGCATTGAACATTATGTTTTGACAGTTCCATTTAAGCAATGTTAAACAATGTTTATTTTTGGGAGAAAAACGTAATTTGTTTATGTTTATGATCCATACCGGTTTATATCCCTATGGAACGAATCCTTAGCGTAGGCAGTGACCTGTGGATTGTTGCAAGTAAAAGACGAATTGTTTAAAGTTATAAATGAGTTGCAATATTTGCGTATATCTCAGTGGAACGAAACTTAAGCGGTGGGAATTGACCAGTAGATAGATGCAAGACAAATAGCAATGTTTTAAACCAATTTTCCGGTATAAGTAAATTGTTCAAATACTGTTTACATAACCACGAGATTGAGTATACACACACATTAACTCTTTGTGTTTTTCAGCGCACAGTTTGAAGACAAGTGGTGATGAAAATATTGAATTGAAAATGCTCAAAACCCTTTTAGGACATGACTTAGAGTTAAGTGACTCTGAAGCGAATAAAACACCTGCAATGGAGACAAACCATCTGCAATGGAGTCTGAAAATGAGGTTGAAGTAAACATAATGGTGGAAGATGATATTGGCAGTGGAATAAAGAAACCAATGGAAGAAGAAGGTATATGTGGAGGACAAAAGAAACCTGTGGAAGAATCGTCGAGGAAATTTCTTAGCAAGGAATACGTTTTATCATCTTGTTGATAACTTTACTTATATAAAGTAACACAGTTTTCATAAAACTAATTTAATATTGTACTGTAATATCATAAAAGTGTCTTCATCACAATTCAAGACAAAACAGAATCAAAACATAAATAAACAAAAAAATCAATACAATTAAAGAACATATGTTATTTAACATATAATGACTACCAACATTACCAACATCTTCCTTTTTCCAAAATGTTTTTAAGTTCTTAAAAATTGTCTATTTCGAATGTAGTCTTTTCCTTCCAGGCGCACAATGTACTTTCTCCTCCCTTCCTTTTGAACAACTTTACCCTCAAGCCATGTCGCATTCTTCAGTTGGGGTTGTTTCTTTAACAACACGCTTTGGCCAATCGATAATGGAGGCAGCTCTGTGGTTCCATGGTCATACTGACTTTTGTACTGTCTCTTTTTACGTTCCCATAGATTCTGAACATTTTGTGGAACTTGTGGCTTCAGTAAGCTCTTATTTATTGACAGTTTGCTTTGTGTTCTTCGGTTCATGAGAAGTTGAGTGGGGCTAAAGCAAATTCCTTGCAATGGGGTGTTCCTAAGTTCTAATAACGCTTGTTGGAAGTCCACTCCATCTTGACGCGATTTCTTCAAAAGATTCTTGAAAACTTTTACTGCCGACTCTGTTTTACCGTTTGCTTGGTGATGGTACGGTGAGGATAGAACTATCTTAAAATTCCAATTTTTGGCAAAATCGTGAAAACTTTGAGCCATGAGGGGCGTTCCACTGTCTGAAACAACCACCTCTGGTATTCCATACCTTGCAAACAGTTCTTTGCAAAATGTTAACAGGGTTTCACTTGTGCATTTTGTTACCTTTTTCACTTCAAAAAATGACGAAAAATAGTCACAGACAATCAAATAGTGAATCGAACCTTCCTGGGCAAAATCAATGGCTACTTTTTTGCCAGGGTCTCTCCGGAGTTTTCTCAAGTATCAAAGGTTATCTTCGTTGGTCTGGTGCATACATTTTGCATATCTTGCAGGAACTTATATCATTTTTTATGTCTCTACTCAAACAGGGCCAGAAAAACACATCTCGTGCACGTCTGATACATTCATCTGATCCCTGATGAGAGGAATGTATTATTTGAATTAATTCTTTTCGTAATGAAACTGGAATCACAATTCTTTCTCCTTTGAGAACGATCCCATCCTCTACACTTAGTTCATCACGAAATGGCCAATATTGTATGAGATCCTCGGATAGTTGCTTACTACTTATAGGCCACCCATTGCAAATCGTGTTAATTAGTCTTTTCATAGTTGGATCTGATTTGTTGATATTCTTAATCTGGTCTAGTCTTTCGTCTGTCACGTTTAAGTACGTTCTTGAACTGGAGTTTTCAAAACACTTTAGACTGTCTGTTGAAAAGATTTGAATACTTTTATCTTCATGTGATTTATCTCCTGTAATGGGTGTTCGAGACAAAAAGTCTGCGATGAACATTGTTCTTCCTGGTCTATATGTTATATTGAAATTAAATCTTTGCAGTCTGAGAAGCATTCGCTGCAACCGCTTTGGGGCCGAATTCAATGGTTTTTTAATGATGGTCTCTAATGGCTTATGATCAGTTTTAACTGTTATATCATGTTTTCCAAACAAGTACTGTTCAAATCGTTCAAGAGCATAAACTACTGCCAAGCATTCTTTTTCAATTTGTGCATATGACGATTCTGCCTTACTAAGAGTCCTGGAAATGTATGCCACTGGCTTACCATCTTGCATCAGGGAAGCTCCCAATCCAAATTGGCTAGCATCACACTGCACAGTTGCTGGCTTTTCTATGTCAAAGTATTTTAAGGTTGGAGATGATGTTACCAAATGGACTAGTTTTTTAAATGTTTCATCATGAGTTTTTTCCCATATCCACAAATTACCTTCCTTCAACAGTGATCATAATGGTGCTGATACATCTGAGAGTTTAGGAACAAATTTTCCCAAATAATTCACGAATCCTAGAAATCTTTGCAGTTCTTCTTTGTTTTGTGGTGCTTTCATATTTCTTATTGTTGAAATGGGGTAGCGGATTTCTACCCCCGGATATTTACCCCCATGAAAAAACGCCTACGTCATTTTGACGTCACGAGGGGCGGGGCTTATACACGGTCGAGAAACAGCCCGCGACTGGAAATTTACCCCCAATATATTATTAAATAATCAACATGTAATTGTTTGATTATAAAGTGATTTGCCATAGCACGGAAATCTACCCCCGGACATCTACCCCCGGACATTTACCCCCGGATATCTACCCCAGACATTTACTCCCGGATATCTACCCCCGGATATCTACCCCCGGACATCTACCCCCAGACATCTACCCCCGGACATCTACCCCCGGACATCTACCCCCGGAAATCAACGGCTCTTCGGTTAAGCATTGTCTTGTAATATCCAGTATTAAGCATGCGATATGTCATTGTCTTGTTTAACATTATCTATCTTCTTAATTCAATAAGCTGTAACAGTCCTTTTTTCACCCGACCTACTTCGCCGATTGTTACGATCGAGGTGTCATTTTAAAGCTTAAGATCTTGCGCAGAGCAAAATGGTAATTAAAAAGGATATTTCGATTAGGGCTTCAAAAGGTTGACCCCTAAGCCTTTGATTTATTCCTAGAAGGTGCTTCCAATGGTTGACCAACTTTCACACTATACAGTAACAGTTAAAAAGGTGAAATGTGAGCAGATTACTAATCAGTTCCATTTTTAAGTCAGGTTTAAAACCAGAATAGATCGTCTGCAACTGTAAACAAAAGATGGAACACTACTCCAAAACGACTTTTCGTTCTCAATTGGCATTCTATCAATAACCTGTGTCGCCTGTACAGCGAGGCATTTTGAGAAGGAGAAAACCAGCCGGATGAATGCTTTAGGTTTATCAATAACGAAGATAAACATGGTTTTAGTTACACACCGGTAATCTTTGAGTTGACTCATTTAAACTCATTGTAAATAGTCATTGTTATTCATTTTGAAATAACTCCTTTAATAATTTGCAATTGCTCGAATTCGAGCAACATGTAGGCCTACACTAGTTACATATTATTGCACTTACGATTTATTTTATCCGTTTATTTACGTGAGTAACAATGTTTTTAATCTTACTTGGTTTTGGATTTTATTACAAAACATGATCGGAAATGGTTGCAGTATTTTATCCGTTTATTTACGTGAGTAACAATGTTTTTAATCTTACTTGGTTTTGGATTTTATTACAAAACATGATCGGAAATGGTTGCAGTATTTGTAAACTAAATGTAATAACAAATTTCCAGTGACAGCTAGAAAAAATCATCTTTATCCAGCTTTTCATCTTTAACAGCTTTTCGTTATTTCATTGATGTCGTATTCTCCAAACAAATTATTAGTATTTCATTAATTACTGGTAAACATTAGGAGTAGCCTAAACTTGACAAAAATGCAAAAAATTGGGGGTTTGAACCAAATTTATTTTAATTCAAAAGTAGTGAGGCCATATTTTAATGGCTTAAGTTACTCGTGTCAATCCACCGAATCCAAAAAGACTATTTAAATCGAATCACGATCGATGCTCTAGTTTTTGAGAAGAAGGCCACGTAAAATGCCTTCTGGGCCTTGACAGACAAGACAGAAATTGAGATTGTAACAATTCAATATTTTCACTAATTTTTTTTTAAGAGAATAATTTAATTTCCACCATATGTTTTTCATTTTATCTAAATGTCAATCCCTTTTCAAACCATATATAGTAATCAATTGTCCATGCAGACCAATAGGTAATCAATTTAATACAATATAATATAGAAATTTTCAAATAACATAATTTCATGTAAATATATAATAGCCTATAATTTTTGTAACAAAATTGCTTCAAATTCAATATAATTTTATTTAAACAACTTTTCAAAATTATAATATAGCTCTCTAGCAAATGAAATTTGTTATAATATATACAGGGTGAGTTTTAATTGTCCCCCCCCAACTTTTTTCTACATTTTTTCAAATATAAATCCCAGACCACTTCCAAACATTGTTGGGTAGTAAGTACTTCATTTTGACAAGGTGGTCATTTCCGGCCGCCATCTTTGATCCGCCATATTGGATGCAAAATATTTTTTTCAAACGTAAAGGTGGGGTTGTGACCCATTATTGCGAACTAGATTTTTACCCTGATTACAATGCCGCAAACCCTTTAATAAAAATCTAGATCCATTCAAAAGTTATGAGGACTTTTTAAAACTGTATTTTTAGCCCATTTTAACATTGTGCATGTACAAACTAAGACCATAATCTCAAAATAGTGCTAGATAAAGATAAGTATACACTACCAGTCATTGTTGACCTATTTTCACTTAGTTATGACTGATGTATTTTTTTCGGCCGCCATCTTGGATCCGCCATTTTGAAATATGATAAATTATTTTAAATATGAAGGGGGTGTTGTGACCCATCATTTCGAACTACTTTTTTAAGCTAAACTCAACGCCACAATCCGTTTTTCATTTTCATATTTTGATTTGGAAATATTGACATTTTTTAACAGAAAAGCTGCAATATTTAAAAAAAACTTGATAACAAAAAACTGATTGCGGCATTAGGTTTAGCTTAAAAAAGTAGTTCGAAATGATGGGTCACAACATCCCCTTCATATTTAAAATAATTTATCATATTTCAAAATGGCGGATCCAAGATGGCGGCCGAAAAAATACATCAGTCATAACCAAGTGAAAATAGGTCAACAATGACTGGTAGTGTATACTTATCTTTATCTAGCACTATTTTGAGATTATGGTCTTAGTTTGTACATGCACAATGTTAAAATGGGCTAAAAATACAGTTTTAAAAAGTCCTCATAACTTTGGAATGGATCAAGATTTTTTTGAAGGGTTTGCGATTTTTTTAAAGGGTTTGCGGCATTGTAATCAGGGTAAAAATCTAGTTCGCAATAATGGGTCACAACCCCACCTTTACATTTGAAAAAAATATTTTGCATCCAATATGGCGGATCCAAGTTGGCGGCCGGAAATGACCACCTTGTCAAAATAAAGTACTTACTACCCAACAATGTTTGGAAGTGGTCTGGGATTGATATTTGAAAAAATGTAGAAAAAAGTTGGGGGGGACAATTAAAACTCACCCTGTATGTGTAAACAGTGGCCTACAATGTTATGTGATTAAGTCAGCATTGATATATGTGAGTGCAACAATGCATCAGACCTTCATCACTTCCAATAGAGCCAAGATAGTATGAAGATGTAAATTGGATACTACATATTTAATATCAAAATTTTTTAAAAAAAAGTACATTATTCGGACAAAATTAGTGGAATTTGTTGAAAGAAGACCTATCCTTGTTACGAACATTAATCAGTTATAACATCAAGAATTTTACTGCAAAGAAGACATCAATTTTGGTGAGATCACTCCAATAGACATTTTTCCTTTTGGAAGCCATTAAAACTTTTTTTTGCCTAACCTTTGGACATTTGTACTCAAATTCAAAGTCAAGAACTAATAGAAGCTTAACTTATTCAGAACTATTATTAATTCAACCAATCTATAATTCGAACATACTTTATATTTTAAAACAAAATTTAATTAGGCTTATATCACAAGATTAAATTCAAATGCCACTCGATCACCCCACCTGAGATAAAGATCCTTGCAGTAAGTTATAACACTTGAACCTAAATTAAAACCATTGTAATAGGCCTAGCCTAAAGATTTTAAAGTAAATTCATTTCCCACTGTTTGTACAATTTATTGTGAACCCTTTTCTTTTCTTTTACTATCAGTTTTGTATTATAATTAATAAATTTCAGTTTCAATACTGTACATGGAGTTTCCATTGTAGACCTAAGTAAAAGGATGATTACAAGATAAAGACTTGTTTTGGCTACTTTAATGTATGAAACGTAAAAATGACCAAAAAATATATAATTTTAAGCAATGTTCATACTAAACTCTAATTTAATTAAAATAAATTCGTAAAACCAAAAGAACCATGAGGTAAAAATACCTTCCCTATCCCGAAATATCCAATTTTATTCTTTTACATTATTCTCCGTTATTTCACAACCAGCATTGACAACCAGAACCAATCAAAAAATATGTTTATGTTTTATTTTTTACGATTAATTATTTGTGTAAACAACTAAACTTTTTAGCCAATGTAAAACTCTGGATAGTGTCTACGACATAGGGATTATGCTATTTCGTATTACTAGGAGGTAATTGATAGTGAAAAAATTATTAATTCATTAATCAACCTGTGGCAGGCTTTTTATCAACATTTAATTGCATTTTTACCACTAGTAATCAGAAAATAACCTCCTTCAGTGATATGTTTTAAATTTCACAATCTGCGCTCGTGCATGTGCTGTTAGCTATGAGTGTATGTGAAAATTGGTTAACAATTTAAATCACTGTCTGAAAATAAATCAAATGCTTATGGGTTAAACTTTTGGAGCCCTTTATCAAAACATCCTTTTTAATTACCATTTGCGTTGCACTGAATCTTAAGCTTAAAAATAACACCTAAATCAGTAACAGCTTAATGAATTGGGAAGATAGATGACATTAAACAAGACAACGACATATCACATGCTTAATACTAGATATTAGAGGGTAATTATTAAACGAAGAGCCATTGATTATTTTTATAAACAAATTACTAAAATCAATTACAACAATGAATATTGACCGACACGTAGTGTAGCACGGGGGGTAGATTTCCGGGGGTCGGAAATAAATAATTCCGGGGTCGGATATTTATGATTTGACCACTGGGGGTACATTTCTGGGGGTAGATTTCCGGGGGTAGATATCTGGGGGTAGATGTCTGGGGGTAAATGTCCGGGGGTAGATGTCCGGGGGTAGATGTCCGGGGGTAGATGTCCGGGGGTAGATGTCTGGGGGTAGATTTCCGGGGGTAGATGTCTGGGGGTAAATGTCCGGGGGTAGATGTCCGGGGGTGGATGTCTGGGGGTAGATGTCTGGGGGTAGATTTCCGGGGGTAAAGTTCCGGTGTCAGGTTTATTAGCATTTTAATTAATTACAACTGTTAAGTAAACCGTGAAATGCGAGTTGATTAAATATACAATAATTTATCCATCCTAAAAGTTCGCGGCCGGAAATCTACCCCCAGACATGTGACGTCAAAGTGACGTAGGCGTTTTTTCATGGGGGTAAATATCCGGGGGTAGAAATCCGGCGACCCGTTGAAATCTTTTCGGGGTCAGGCTTCAATCCATCTGCACTGACTACATGACCCATATATTTAATTTCCTTCATACCAATCATACATTTTGATAAGTTAAACTTAACATTTTTCTCATGAGCCCTTTGAAGTAGTGATTTTAAATTATTGTTATGGTCAATGCGAGCTTCTTCTTCAGTATCTCCACTGCCAAACACAACAACATAATCTGCTATTACTATAACCCCTTACAGATCTTCAAACTGTTCATTCACACGCCGCTGGAATTCTTCTGGAGCGGAAAATATACCAAAAGGTAGCCTTAACCATCGGTATCTTCCATACGGTGTCCAAAATGTTGTTAATTTACTAGAATCTTCTGTCAATTTGACATGCCAAAATCCGTCTTTGAGATCTAGTTTGCTGAATATTTTGGCTTTACTCAACTGGGGAGCAATCTCTTTGATAGTCAGTGCTTGGTAGTTCGGGCGTTTTATTGCTTTATTGAGTTGATGAGGATCAATGCATATTCGTAATTTGTTTGGTTTCTTCACAACTACCATGGCACTAACCCAATCGGTAGGCTCTGTCACTTTTTTTATCACTTGCAGATCTTCCAAACGTTTTATTTCATCTTGTATCTCTTTCTTTAGAGCCACAGGATATCGCCGTGGAGGAACGACAATCGGACGTACTGATGTATCTAGCTTAAATTCACAGTGTCCTTCAAAACACCCTAAACCATTTCCAATATCTGGAAAAGAAGATAGCATTTTCTCTGAGACTTTACAACTTTGGATTTGATAGACCAATTCATCAAACAAAATCAAACCAAGGTTAATACAATCTTGCGCACCAAGTAGTGGATTGTGAGGTGTCTCGATGACCTCAAAAATCAATTTGTGTTTCTTATTTTTCCACTTAACAATCAACTGGACTTTTCCAAGGGAAAACTGAGATTCACCACCATAGAAAGTAAGTCTTGTACTGCTCTCCTTCAATCTTGGGATTCCCACTAACTTCTTTAGCGTCTCGTAGCCAATGACGTTGCATGATGATCCACTGTCTAGCTGGCATTTGATAAAAGGTTCACTGTCTTTCATGCAGAGTGGGAGATCAATAAATAAGCGTTTCTTCGGTATTTCTTCTTTGACATGGTATATGTCATCATCCGAGTTCGAACGATCTTCATATGCGGATGTGTCATCCTTGGGTCTACTAGCCGCTTCAACATGACAAACCTTGCGTATATTTTGCTTGCATACATTTGCAAAATGATTCTTTTGTTTACACTTACTACAGACTTTTCCATATGCAGCACAGTTCTTGGCACCCCAAATATGATTCTTGCCACAAAATTTGCAAGTCCGCATGTTAGTGTCTCTTTCAACTCTAAAACTATTGTCTTTATTCTCCTCTAAATCTTCTTCTGTGTTCCTAGAATTAATTTTCAATGCTAAGCTCTCCGAGTGCTCATCAGCAATACACAACTGTGTGGCTTTGTTTAAGCTCAAATCTGATTTAGTCAATAACCGTTTCCGTAACCGAACATTAGCGATCCCAGCGACCAAACGATCGCAGATCAGCTGCTCCTCAATCTCCTTTTTTGAAAGATTAGCCAAGGCTTCAAAATCACATTTACCAACAAGTTCATGAAGTCGGTTAATGTAATCCTTGCATGATTCTTGAGCATCTTGTTTGGCACTATTGAAATTGTATCGTTCGTAAGTAACATTCTTTGCTTCCTGAAAATATTCATCAAGTCTTGAGATAATTTCATCCACATCAGATGGTTCATTGAAGAGCTTGTTTATTAATCTTACAGCCTTACCTCCTATTACTGAAAGGAATAGCGCAAGCCGAATCTTCTTATTCGACAAGTTTGTTGACTTTGAGCTGAAAGCTTCTGCCAAAGTAACATAATTCTTCCATTGGCATTTGAATAACTTCCAGTTTTCTGTTGCATCACGTTTTTCAGTAAAATCAAATGGTTCAGGAGGTTGTATATTAGTCATATTCTCAAAGTTGCATACCTGACACCATGTTGATAACTTTACTTATATAAAGTAACACAGTTTTCATAAAACTAATTTAATATTGTACTGTAATATCATAAAAGTGTCTTCATCACAATTCAAGACAAAACAGAATCAAAACATAAATAAACAACAAAATCAATACAATTAAAGAACATATGTTATTTAACATATGAACATTACCAACACATCTGATGATGAAGATTTGGTAAAACCGATGACACTTTTTAACAAACAACATTATGTTGCTCACTTCTGGGTGGTTTAACAAGCTCATATAAAGTCCATCGAGCCATCTAGTTTTCTCAATCCTGTTGGTTAAAACCATATATTGATTCCAATGCAACACGAAGAGCAGCAACTACGTCGACCTTTCAAAAGGATGTTTTTAAACTAATGAATAATGCATTTTTTGGCAAAACCTTGGAAAACAAAAGAAAACACAAAAATGTAAAACAAGTTACAAATGCACGGAAACTACAAAACTAGTTCAACAACAAAATTTTAAAACGTCGATTATCATAAACGAAAGCCATGTTGCAGTTTGTATGAATAAAACAACTGTAAAGATGGATCGTCCTCTGTATGTAGGTATGTTTATACTTGACATTTCTAAGACGCATATGTACGACTTCCATTACAACAAGAAACACTTTCTTTTGTGACTGGCTGTCTCCTTTCATTCCTTCACCAGACGCGGGTGTGATAGGCTGTTTTTGTTTTTCGCCGTGCTATTGGTTTAAGTACTGTTTGTTCGTAATGGTTTGTTAGTATTAGTGTTTTATTTAGTTCTAGTGTAGTTGTTTTTAGTGTTTTGTTATATACAATTATCTAGTGTACCGTTTTGTGTGTCTACGCATCATGGATTGCCGTAAGTACCATATTCCCTAATAATTGCACAATAATGTTGATGCCGTAAGATTTTTTTGTTTTTAAAAGGATACCAACTGTAGAAAGACTCTAGAATTTTAAATTATTATTGCGTTCAATTAGGTAACTTGATATGTCTTTTATGTAGGGCCTATCCTATAGTAGCCTACTGGGATACCATATATTCCTTAACAGTTTATCAGGGCCAGCTAAAAGACTTTATTATTCTGAGGTTTACTCAGAAGATGACTCGGATAATGAACTTCCCTTGAAGGTCAAAGTTAATCACTACGTGATTACAAAAATAGCAGGCCAGAAGTCGAACACTACCATTATTTTTGAATAGTAACAAAAAAGTTTAACGATGAACTGTTGATAAGAATTATGAAGAAATCGAACAACAAGTTTGTGTTTTCAGAAACGGATGACATCTCCCTTTAGGAGTTGTCTGACATATTAGCTGTGTTCGATCAACCAACTGTGTACAATCGGAAACAGTAATATTTCATCATATATGAGAAGTTCATCAAATTGATAGATTAAGCTAATATTGCACACTGGTTATTTAAAGTTTGGAGAATGCGTTTTTAATTGGAGATATACGATAGGGTAATTCTCCACAGGATGTCAAGTTTGGTGTCCTTAATATCTAAATAAACAGAAAAAAATTAAATCTCACAATAATTCAGCTGGCACCTCCCTAACTAAAGACTAAGACTCCGAACTTAGAAATCTACTCCCTGGTCTCAAATCGCTCCAGTAATCAACTGGACCTGAACATCGAATTTCACCGAAGACCATTAATTTAACTACATCTAAACGTCGTTTTGGATTCGCCGTTCACCAGATTAACCGCAACACTCCCCATGTAGCAACCAATGTTTATAATACGTATTTATTTATTTATTTATTTACAGAATGCCATTACATCATAAAATGACAGGACATTTGTCAATGCATTATAATACTTAAATCTAAGTAGTAATAAATCCAAATAAAATAATTTCAACACTTAACCCTCCCAATTTCCACTTGAAAATTCATTTAAAGAATAAAATGTTTTTGTCAATAACCATTCTTTACATTTTTGTTTGAACTTTTTTGGATTTGCAATGTTTTTTAAATGATCAGGAATCAAGTTATACAATTTCGGTCCAATATATTGAGGTGATGCTTCAAAAATAGTGATAATCTATGGCTAGTGGGCTTAATTAGGTTCTTATGTCTAGTGTTATACCTATGGTTTGTGTGACCCTCCCTGAAAATGGACAAATTGTTGAATACCCAAAATAATGGTTCTAAAATATACAGGTCATAAAATGTCAAAACGCTAAAAGCCTGAAAGATGAGTTTGCACGGACTTCTTCGGGGTACTTTAGCTATGATTCTAAGTGCCTTCTTTTGAAGCCTAAAAATCTTCTTACCATGGCACGAATTTCTCCAGACAAGTATTTCGTATGACATTAATGATGAAAAATGTGAATGATAAACTGTTAATTGAGTTTTAGTATCTGTAACTTGAGAAATTGTTTTGAGAGAAAATATTGCTGAAGAAAGTTTTTTCCGTAGTTTGTCAATGTCAACTCAAAGAAAAATGCAAGGAACTGAAGTACGCATACGTTTGGAGCAGGGACGGGAAATTTTTCGCTAGAAAAACTGAAGACGGTAAATCAATAAAAGTGAGTACATATGAAGATATTTACCAGCTTAAATAAGTAGTTCAAATGGCTACGTTCATAGAAGTTATTTTTGTCATTTCACTCAGTTTTTTTTTTTTTATGAAATTCTATTTATTTTAAGTATTTTTTTAACTGTTTTGTAGATTAGCGAATGTCATTTACAATCTCCAACGAATATGAAACAAGTTTACCACATTTTTACAAAGATATTAGTAACGAAGGTTAATTAAATTTACTGTATGCCAATATTAGATCTTTAAGAAAGAAATTCAATAGTTTTTTAGCAGAGGTTAACAGTGTCATAAATAATATTAATATTATTGTTCTAAGTGAAATTTGGGTCAATGAAAGTGAAATTAGTTTTTATAAAATTCCTGGGTTTAATTTATTTGCATGTTGTAACGACACTTATAGAGCTGGAGGGGTGTTATGTTATGTAAATGAGAGTATTGATACTACACAACTAAGCTTTACAATGACCACTGCTGATGTTTTGCTTCTGCGTGTTAGATATAAAAATGTTTATTTCAATGTGTTCTGTTTTAATAGGTTGCATATGCACTCAGAAAATGATTTTGTAAATGAATTTTCCGATACTATTAATAATGTAAAGGGTAATACTATTTTGGTCGGAGATGGAAATATAAACCTATTAAATACTTGTCAGCCATATGTGCAAAACTATTTCAGTCTGTTACAAAATCATGGTTTTATATCTATGATAAAGAGCCCTACGCGCATAACTAATCTGTCTAAAACACTCGTAGACCAGAATTTTGTTAGGCATCCAAACATAACTGTTTTTAAAAGTGTTATATTTGATATTGGTCTAACGGATCATTGTTTATTGGGGTTGACTTTTGATTTAATGTGTAAAGGTAAAATAATAGATGATTCTAGCTTACTCAAACAAAAAGATAAAATAGATTTTATTTTATTCAAAGAAAAGTTAGAAAATGAAAAATGGGAAGACATTTTGCTTTCAGATGATGTTAATTATTGTTATAATATTTTTTTATGAAAAACTATGTACTGTAATAAAGAAATCTAAGTAAGCTTTTAAGTACAATAAATTTCAAAAATCTAAATCGTTAAGTCCATGGATAAATACTAATTTATACAATAGGATATCGAAAAGAAAGAAGTTATACGTGTTGTATAGGAAAAGGCCATTCGATATTTATTTTGGAAATTATTTTAAAGAGTTCTGTGTCAAATTAAGAGAAGATATTGATTTTGCTAAAAACCAATTTTTAGCGAACAAAATTAATAATTGTCATGGGGATTCTTCTCAATATTGGAAGGTTTTAAATAATGTGTTAGGTACAGCTGATAAGAAAAATGTAACTGAAGTTGAATTGGAAAACAAAACAATTTTAAATTATCACAAACAAGTTGCCGAAGAGATTTACAAGTATTTTATCTCTGTCCAATGTCAAGGTCAAAGCTGCAACGGGCCTCCCCCTCCCCAGCCACGACCCTTGCATTGTTGTCCTCACTCCTTCTTTGTTGCTCCAACTACCATTCCCGAAGTTTTGCCTACCATAAATGGGTTAAAAAATAAAAAATCTACAGGTTTTGATCAAATATCTGTTCAACTTTTAAAAACTGTCTCTAAAATCATAGCACCTGTTTTAGTCCACGTGATTAATCTTAGTTTTGCATGTGGTATATTTCCAGAAAAACTTAAACAAAGCACCATAGTGCCCATTCATAAAAAAGGCTCGTCTAAAAAAATTAGACAATCTCAGACCTATTAGTTTGCTCTCAGTTTTTTCTAAAGTTTTTGAGAAATTAATGAAAGTCAGACTTACATCATTTTTGGATGGTTTAAATTTTTTCAGCAACTCTCAATTTGGTTTTAGGAAAGGAAAGTCGACAGAAGATGCACTAATTACAGTCACAGATAAAATTTATCAAAGTTTAAATAGCAAAAACAAAGCAACAGGTTTATTTGTTGATTTTAAAAAAGCATTTGATCTAGTTGACCATAATCTTTAATTATCTAAATTAGATGCTGCTTATGGTGTTAGAGGTGTAGCTAATAATTGGTTTTCTAGTTTTCTCTCAAACAGAATACAGCAAACAAAGATCTTAGACCAACTAAGTTCTCCTCTACATGTCAGGACAGGTGTTCCACAGGGATCAGTTACCTCTGCAACCCTCTTCCTCATATTTATAAATGACATTCTCAAGCTTCCGTTCCATGGACACGTATGTGCTTTTGCTGACGACATTGCGTTTTTTTATTCCCAAAAAGATATTTTCACTCTTTACAGTTACATCCAAGAAGATCTTAAGCTTTTGAGTGATTGGTGTAAAGCAAATAAAATGCAGGTAAATGTTGATAAGACAAAATACATAAATTTCAGTCTAATAAATAGTTTTATCTTTCCAAACAATCTAGTTTATCATTCTTCGAATTGTAAT